CCATCATTTTTATTTATTCCGCTATGATTTTGTGTGGTATTTACCAGCTATAATTAGCTGTGTTTGAATACTGACAGTATCGTAAAAAGACAGTCAGACTATGAGTCTCGATTTTGTATAAAATGATAACTATTACCAGAGTATACTACTCAGCGAATGATATATCACGTCAAATGAAGTAATAACGAACGTTTAACACTGCAGCAAATAAATGCCCACCGAAATCTGAAGAACCCTATTTGTTCCAGTGTATTTCTTCTGATTTTTCTTTGTACTATTATGATTTGTGCAAAAATTATTCTTTATTTACCGTTATTTTCATTTTATTAATTTATATGCAGGTCTAAAGTCTAAATAAAGATGCATAAAACCGAGTGAAACACCATCATTCATGTACTATTTGCATGGATGTTTCGGTTTGTATGCCGTCTAAAAGTTTGTCACGATGTTACTTCCGATTACATGAAAGGGTGGGAGAGATAGCTAAAGAAGACATCTACTTAAATGAACTGCATTTTTAATACTTTGAGTTAAATATCTGGTTTGAAGAAGGTCACTGAATGAAATAGTCGAAATAAAATCTTTTACAATCCAGTCTACCCTTAAAAATCTCATTTCTGCGAATTTATCATCGTATTCTTACCAATTTCATGTTCTCATCCCTAATGTCATTTTTTATTTTGAACCAACCGTCTCAATAAGGAGTGAAAATGGTGTCTTATGTTAGCAGTCAACTAATTTAAAATTCTGGAAATAAACTTCGTTCTTGTCGACCCTCATCAGCAAAATGTATCTGCAACCATGAGGAAACTAGTGTTCCCTTGCTTGTTGATTCTGGCGTCCCTCAGTTAGTCAGGTGATTTTTAATTCTACGTTGCACTAGACTGCATACACGTAGTGATCACCTTAAGGCAACCGACGTAGCTGCCTGGTCATCGTTAACTAGAATACATAACTGAATGCCAACTTGAACCAACTGTTCTAATTGTTTCATGAAGTTTCTTTTTAAAGTCTTTGCAGCACTGCTTATCATGACCAACCTAAATATGATGCTCCTTACTATTCAGCAGTCCATTGATGTCATTGTATAGGATGTATTTGCACTTGTGTAGTCCCAGCGTAGTATATATTATAATATATTATTATATAATAACAAAACAAACGAATATTACACAAGTAAAAATACATCTTATACAATAAATCATACTAACTTGGTGCCCAAGTTTCTTCAAACCATCCAGTCCATTGTTGGTCAGGATACCTACAAGTCCATTGATGTGCTTATTGCACTACTGTATGGATCTGTTCACTCCTCAAACATCTAAATAATGAAGATTCTGACCGTACCATCTAGCTATGTCAGTTCATAATTTAGACGGAATATAATGTTCATGAAGTTCTCCATACGAATTATAGTGCAAACCTGAGTTACTGATCTTCAGGTATTTGTCTTTCGAACATTCAGTAAAAGGTTTAGAAGTTTGTTCCGACCTATGAAATGGTTATCTTCAGCAACCGATGAAGACCAATACATACATTCACATCAGCAAGATTTGCTCCTTTTGAATCACGCAGTAAATTAGGACAAATTATGCAACGGTTGAAGGAATATATGACCGCATTCAATCTTTAATTAACAGTTATTTCACTCTAGATAAATCACAGTTCTGATTATTGAGTGTCGCTTTTTAATATGGTAATATAATGGAATAGTAACTGACTATGATCAGTAAATAAGAAACCTAGGATATTCATTTTTCTGTCTTGTTAGTTTTCACACTTAACACATTTTAAACAATGTCCTCTGCTAGATTAGTATTAGTAGTATTTGAAAATCATGGTCCAATATTATTGATCAGACTGACTGACGTATTACCTGAGGCACGAGATCTGATAACCTTTAACTGATCTCAGTGACTATGAATATGTGAACGCATGAAACAACCTTCTGGTGATAGAAATTCACACAGTATTATTATGAATTCTTGTTAAAGATGCTGAGTGTAAAGATCTTCCGGGGAGTTTGAACTGTTCAGTCAGTACACCTAGTGTTATCAGTTCGATTTGAGGTACAAGAAATATCTGAAATACAGAAATTACGGCGCATCCTAACCTCGCTAACTAACTAATCAACATCCAAAACAAGTTTGTCCTGCTAATAAATCATTATTTGAACAAATAAAGCAAGAATGATTTACACTAGAACAACTATTTAGACTACACATCTTTCTCCGTAAAAATGATACACAGATGTTTAACCTAAATTGGAGACTGTGTAATGTTATGTTCACTGTAAGTAAATAAGTTAGAAAAACAAACAAATTGGACAGGTGACTCATAAGTTGACTTGCAGAAATATCTACTGTGGTTACAGTTGTATAGTACATTGACAGACATCTTTAAATATATCTTGTACAGTGCATGTTTACTGAGTACTGCTGAAGCGTTTGGTTAGTTCCTATACATACTAGACGTATTTGGATAATTTTGGTGTTATAATGTGCCTTCTTAAGATTCATAATAAGTAGATCTAGTCCGATGAGAATAAATTAATAGCCAAATCACACTGATTTGAACCCTAGATAGTCTCCCATGAAAATTGTTTCAATATTATGCATACATAAAGTGACAAATCATTTAAATGTGTGAAGTATAGATATTTTACTGCTGGATGTTGGAAATCAGTCTACAAGGCTGTTTTTTGAGTGACTTCTAACATCCAGATGCAAAATATAGTGGAAAGAAGTGTTGCATTTCTTTTAGTGGTCACGCTGGAAAAGTTGATCTGAAACCTTTCATCAGTGCTACACACTAAGTACTATACAGCTACATCAGTTACCCTCTGATGACTATTTTGTATAAATATCAATATGTTTGCGTATTCTGCAGCCAGCTAGTAGTGTTCAACTGCTTTACAGTAAATCTTAAAGTGTGTCTGACTTATTTCAATAAATAAAGTTAAGTTGATCACTGCATAGGCTGAGGAATATTACTTAACTTTTGGGAGCGAATAAAGATTTCAATTCTCAGCAGTCCAAGGCAAAGAAAATTACAAGGCTACATGGTAATCATAAATTTAAACATTGTTTTGACATCATTTACCTAGGAAAGCATTTAATTTTGAACAAGAAGACTTGAAGAGATATCTGCCATAACGAGCGAACCAGGGAGAATGGTGTATTTTCATCTTTGATATGCTTTACATTTTGTATGCATTTATTTCGGATAAGCACCAAATAATTCCTCAAAAACCTGTAAATTGAATAATCCCAGTGCTCATTAGTGACCCCCTTTGAGATGAGATTCCTGAAGTTCTAATAAGAATTCGTGACCATTGGGGCCAACCAAGTCGGATGTGTTGACAGTTACTCAACGACGGCACTAGATGAAGGTCACGCTATATGGTGAACTGAGAGAAGTAGGAAATTTAGGCGACTGGATTTCGACCCGTTGGCTCATTGCTAACATACTGGATGCAGAACCTGAATACTTTGGGTTTAGTCCCTGGCAGGGTGGGGTCACGGGTGCTCACTGCTGAGGAGTCTCATACTAGGGAGGAAAAGATGTCCAGTGCTTCCAGGTTTTTAAGTGGTTCTTAAAACTGTTGTCAGTTTATGATAAATATCAACCTGAAATCGATAAATAACTCCTCAAAAATCTCTAAATTAAGTTATAAAAAGCAATAAATAATCCTCTTCTCAAAAGTCATTTTTATCACTAAAAGATTCAACAAAAAATTCTCCTTCCCTTACTTATTGTCCTGAAGTGGTTTACGCTGATTTATAGAAAGACAATACCTATAAAACCTGTTGGAATATCCTCTCACATCTGTCTGACCTCATGCATTTATAAGTGACTGGCGGCTTTTATGCAGAACATGAGCTTTTCACTTCTCAAGAAAAGTTCTGGAGTCATTTTAGTATCTTCTGATACTTGCTTGCATGAAGTACTGCTAACAAATTTTTACTGAAAGATATGAATTACATTCATTCATTGTCTCAAACAAAAATATTAGTAAGTTAACTGGGCTGCATATGATTCCTTGTAAAAAATATGTCGAGAATTGTCATTTGGCAGCTGGATTCCATTGGTTTTAAGCCGTTATCCTAATTTTTTTATTACCAGTCATCAACAATTCACAAATCTAACCTAGAAAGGACCGGCGTTAACTTCAAGATTTTGACAAGCATCGCCCAGAGTTAGAGGTGGACCGTGGTTTGAATAGTTCAGTAGTGAAGTTCCCAACTTTGATACTTAGTAATATTTGTCTTAAATTCAGAGGCAGCATCACTATTGTTTATGCTGCGCATGCATCAGACAGATACATGCTAGCAAAAACGAAACCCATTTAGGCGCATGGCATTTTATAACAATTCACAACCGCCTAACATCAAATATAATGAGATGAATTACCTAGGTTAGCGTTCCTATTGCCAACTCCATCTAGAAACTGATCATCACCAAGGACATAGCTCCTCCATCAGTCATTCATCCTATGACTGTCTCTTGTATTTTTCTGAAAGTGAAGGTATTCATGGCTTCAAATGAGATCTTATAAATCATGGATAACCTTAAAGAGTGTATGACGTACGCATATCAAGTTGTGATAGAAAGGAATAATATACTGTTAAATGGGCAATATTTATAGTAATTATCTGTTCACGATTGAAAGAGGACTAAAAATTCTTATTGTGTAGGCCTCAGGAAATTAATAAAGTCGTTTATTTTGAAGCCTAACAGAATAAGTCCATTTTACACATAATTTATTTACCTGTATAAAAGAAGAGGTTTCCTCTCAATTCCTTTACACAAATGTAAATTGAACGAACTACCCTCGTTTACTGTTGAATTCTACATTCATATCACTTTGACTGAACTTATCTCTTGATGATAACATTATTTTGATTTGAGATATGAGACAATGAATATAGTAACTAACTACTCAATTATATCTTAACAGTTTAAACTTTTCACGTGTATCATTTCTTTTTAATATTCAGATGTGCCGGATGATCCATCTGAATTAAGAAGCAATATGAAAATTGAATCAAAATCCCCACTTCAATATGGAGTAAGTTTAAACAACCACAGAGCCATTTCATTTGTATCTCTCCGCGATAAATTTGTTTTATTATTGTTGAAAAGTAATCAGGATGAGACTTTTCATTACGCTTAATATTTCTGAATCACAGTTGTTTATTGATACGACTGAATGTGGCCACATTTTGACTCAAGAATGAAGTAGAAGATTATGAAACCTGTATGTACAAATAGAACAAGTTAGCGGATTGATGGTAAGTAAAATAGAACATTAATTTTAAAAATACGATGCAGAAACCACAGTACAACAGTATCCAAACAGACATAATTCAAAACTTCAATTGATACTTTGGAGGGATTGACTGATTCCAAAGCAGTTCTCATTCGGTATTCACATTAGCTGGATACTTGACAGTTCTGGGCTCAACGGTTTGCGGGGGTAGGGAGCGTACTCTTGTGAAGCCACATATTAGACCGAAACAGCTCTCCAATGACTCCAAGCTCTTCATGGCTCTCTAAGTGACCTCAATTCATATTGAAAATTAAGCAAGTGTTTGTAAAATTCCAAAACGTGAATCAAATTTCAACTGTTTGTTTCACCCAAAATGTTTGTTTAAAAGTATACTTTTCAAACTTTCACTTATCAGCTATCTTACAAGTTATTATTATTATTATTATCTTTAAACTTAAAATTACAATAGGTAACGAATGATCTTTAGTAAAAAAAATCCACTAGAACTGCTGAGTTGCACTGTTATCAAAATTATTCGATACTAGTCCAACAAACTGGCTGATACATTTTGTCGAGAAAATTGTATGATCATGTTGAAAACAGTATGAAATTAGTTTGCAGACTATATCCTGTTCACCGTCTTATTCTGTACTCTTCTCATTATCCGCACTTCTGTCCAGTATTGTTTACTGTTCTTGTCCACTTTCTCACCATCTGAATGTGATGACTTTCGACTTTGTTATGCATACTACTTACATACATTCTTATAAGTAGATGTCACTACGTCAACTGATCAATAGAATCTTTCACACTGAAATGGAGGTAACTACTTCAGTCAGATACTTGTTCAGATTATCTTCTGTATTTAAGTCGACTGATTGAATGAAGGGACTTTTATCGATAAACATTCAAATTGATTTGATCACCATATACATCATTGTTAAATATTCAATATGCAAAAAAATTAAGTGATCAACTATGAAATATATACAATTGTATTCTAAATACATAGATTATTTTTGAGTCACTTAATAAGCGTATCTTTGAATAAATGCAGTTATTTTGGGTTCATATGTTCAATAATGGTTCGGACTGACCTTTAAATTCCACATCATGCCCAATTTAAAAAAAGTCACCTAAAATTTTACTTCTAATAATATTAGCATTTCTGAGATGCAAAATGTTTAATGTATGCTTCAAGATACTACTGAAAACCTTGGATGGACAATAGGTAAATATGCATGGAATACTACCTTATCATTAAGGGATAGTTGTTAAACGGATATACTTGCTTACTTGTTGATATTTCCTGTGCAACTCAAAACTAGCTTTAATCTTTCTAAAATACAGAGGATAGTCTTGCAAACTGCTATGTTACAACAACATTATTTTACTTAGTTTTAGACTGTCTGTGACAGCTTGAGAATCCTCGCTATTTTAGTTTGACAAATCTAACTGACAGCCTATATACTAAAAGTAAGTGTGGATTTTTATGGGTCTAGCGATTTACACTTAGGTTTCGCAGAACCTAAGCAAAATTTAAAATTTACTGGTTTAGCTTTAGTGGGTTCAAGGGATCATATTTTTCAACATCTTCGACAATCTGACCTACTTTGCTTTCTGGTATAAGCTAGTAAGAAGCTGTCCTCGCATGAGATTATTTACTTGATAAGTCGGTTGGAAAGGTAATAGCACATGTCAGTACACTTTTGACAACTCTGAGTCAACTTAGTGAAGGTGAAATACCTTGATGAACACTACTGGCTGTCATCAGGCGCAATGGTAATAAACCCATAAACACTTGCTCAGGTTCAGATATAACTTTCAGTAACGCGGTGTTTGTTTCTGACTCCGTCCAAAAAAAAGACAAATTCACGTAAAACTTTCAAACTAATAAAGCTAATACCAACGAGAACTCAAGATGTACATTAGTATCGGTGAAATTTTAGGAGTGTTTGCATTTCAGTATTTTTTGTAGGATGAAACAGTCTAACGTATGACTCGAATTCGGTTTGAAGCTGATTTTCAAACGTTTGCTGCCTCCAAACACCAATTAAACATTCAGTGACCATAAAGTTCTGTAATTATTCGGTTGAGAGGTAATATCGTCAGGTACCGCTTTTTTTCTTGATAAGCCTGGAAAAAATAATACTATGTTATTCTTTCCTCACTTTTTCAATTTCCGTCACTGACAATTATTAGTGTGAACTGTGAGAGGTCTCAGTCACTTCATCTCCTTCCACTTCTGATTTCGATCAAGTCCAGTAAGAATAAGTGTTTAACACCGGGTAAATGGAAGAAAGCTATTGATGTTTAGCGGATTTTACTTACTGTCACTTCAAAATGACCGACAGCTTTTGCATCTGCTTCAGACTGTATGTTTTCGTATACATCGCAACAGGAATTTTTCGCTACATTGACACAGAAGTCCAGCTACTTCCTTCGTATGCTTGACTTTGATATCGTTTCTTACGAAATGTAATCCAACAATTTTATGGAGAAGCACTAGCCGTAATCATCTTTCTTTAAAAACGCTTCTGCTCCCACTGTTTTCAGAGATAATTCCAAAATGACCGAATTGATTTCAGTTTTAAGTATGAAACATATTTACCTATAATATATAAACCTTGTTTGCTAATTTGTTATAAATTTTTATGCATGAAAATGTTATCAGAAATAGTAGTAAGCTAGGGAAATAACGAAAAAGCATGCATTCTCAGTTAAATAGAGTTATCGTAACTTTCGGTATTTGTTATCACCGCATCATGAGTATCAAAACCTATGCACCATATTGACTCGCCCAAACATTTTCGTATCCTCATTATACTACTTGTGAACAGTTTGATAAGTATCGTAAATTTCTTGAAACCCACAAAGTAAATTTGGTCTTTAAACAACTTGATATACTACGTTTTCGGTTGATGAAAATATTATTTCTATTAAAATATAGAAATAGAAGATAAGAAATTTTCACATTACACCTACAAATGATAATGTTAATGATGCTGGATAACGTCAAAATTTGTCAGTTCACAAGGACAGAAAAACTGCAATCAGATACTTACAAAAGATATGTACAAGAAAAATGAATGACTTATATATGAATATAGACACATACATCAACATTGTAACTGCAACAATTTATCGTGACACACATTGTTGAGCAGACACCTAGAAATTACAGAAACAGTACACAGGGATCGGAGTATCAAAAGCATAACATTCGACAGACGTGAAGTATTAAATTATTACTCTGAAATTTGTTTGTCTACTAATTGGATAAAAAACATATTTTTCTTTCATTTGGATAGTGGATTACGAGATGTTGTTAGGCATACACCGAGTCATAAAAATCGAAAGGTTAAAATAGTTTTTTTCATAAGATGAAGATAAAACACGATACCATTTTCATGTTATGACGATTGCTACTCTGAAAAAAGTAGTATTCATAGGAAAAATTTGGGGTAGACTAGTAAGGCTTTGGGATGTCGAAGTAATTTAATAAATCCTGAATAACTGGTGACGTAACTCAACCCGGTATGTGTTTAACACACTGAACTACGAGTTATTTCAATTTTATGAGGGCTTGTGATACAACCCGGTGGTCTTGGCCAAAATGGAACACAGTGCGCGGTTTCAACTCAGAGCTTCTTGCATGATTTTCAGATGCTTAGGTCAATGAGTAACACTATGAAGTAGATACGGAGTGAATTTTGTCTTTATGACTATAGGTGGTAGCTAACAAATCCAGCAAGTAACCTTCAAGCAATCCGTAAAGCATATTATCGCACATTCAAAATAGTCAGCCTCATATTTATTCTAGCTGTTGGGTATTGTATTCAAAATGATTCCGTGATAACGGTATAACCACAAGTGCAGATATAAACCATTATATAACATGTGTAACTGAATATCATGTAAACTGTGTCTTGTCCGTAGTGTTCGTAGCAGAGTGGTTCATTCAATGCTTTCTGAAACACTTAAACGTAAAGACCCCATAGAAATAAATTTAATAAACTAATATTTGGCCTTAACAAATATTAAAAAATCCTGCATGTGGAAAACTATTGATGCAGCCTTCTCAGTCATATATGTTCAACATTGTCAATAAACGAATGGCCATTTCAACTGAAATAACATTAGGTAAATATTTCCTTACACAGCAGAGCACGAGTGATATTGAATCTTCTAGCATCTCATTGTCATGAATCCTGTTAAATCTTCCGGTGGATATTTAGGTTACACGCTAGGTACAGACATTTATCCCCAAGTTAACTAAATTTACTGAGATTTTCACTTTTTCAGAATTTTGAATTGTATTCCTATTCGAAAATACCCTACAATGTCCTTTGTCAACTTTAAAATCGGTTTAGCCGCTCATATGCATTATTATTTGCCTATTGGCTGTTATTTGTTAAAATCGCATCCGTATAGGCTGTGAAAAATATATAAATCCAAGAGCTGAAATATATCGTTGGGAACTATACTATTCCACTTGGTGAAAGTTTTTACCACTACCTAGGGCTGGAAACAGTTGGACAGAAAGCGATCCACTGTTGCTCATCTAGCAGTCATTGTTCTTCTATTATCAAATGACTGGTATCATTCTGTTTTACAGGATTTCTCTTCCAGAGATTTGTTTTGAAAACAAAATTTTGCTAGCCTACATCTTTTATCTTAACTTATGACGACACTTTCGCCTCACGAATGGTAATTTTTTTAAGTGCGTCGACACATACAAATATCTAATATAGGAAGTGGATGAACCCCATAGATAACCTTTTTGAATAATCATATCA